GATGTCATGAGTCTGACTGGCATTGTGCCCAAGGACGAGCAGGTGGACAGTGAACAGTGGATACGAGGAATACAAAGGAAACCCGTGTATCCATGATGTCCTGGTATTTGTGGTAATCACACAGGACCATATAATCAAATGAGGAAAAGCCAGGAGAATCACCGTCCTGAATTCCACACAACCAGGGATGCAAAGTCATCAGTGGAATGTTCTCTACAAACTGCCTGTCCACCCCTACCCAGCCATCATGCTTTTGAACACTGACACACATTTCCATCGTACTTTTGAACTCAAACACACATCTCTAGTTCATTTTCATAAGCCCCTCCATGCTGTCCTCTCATCGGCTGCATTTTACTCAGGTGCCTCTAACTTAGCTGGTGTAACTGCTGTGTAAACTAAAGCCCGCAAAACCTGCTTGCCCAATCTCGGTGACTTCTCTAACTATGGTGCCATTAAATTTTTGTTTGATTAGACAATACATTTTCAATGTGTGTATATATATATATATATATATATACACACATATATATACACGCACAATGTATATATATACATATATGTGTATATATATACACATACACAATGTACACACACACATACACACACACACACACACACACACACACACACACACACACGAAAAATCTATCTTTTCTTTCTTTTTGGCCAATTTCAAGAATATTTTTCTCTTGGTGTAGGGATTGAACCAAGGGCTTTGCACACACAGGGTAAACACTGGGTCACTTAACTGTGTTCCTAGCCTTTGAATTTTTGAGACAGAGTGTCACTATATAGCTCTATACTATAGAGCTCAGGCTGTCTTTGAAATTACAATCCTTCTGCCTAATTGGCTGGCATTACAGACATGTGCCACCACACCAGGCAAGACATTTCTACAGTTTCTTTATGCAGGTACCTCACTCTCGGCAAAGAAATTTTCTCATTTTAATCATACGCTGTTTTGCCCATGTGTTTGATCATCTATAGTTATGAAATAAATACTTCTAAACTTAGGGCTTAATACGATGTATTCTTTTACCTCATCGTCCAGTGGATGATGGTGCTTAGCTGGGTAGTTCTTGCTCAGGTCTCTCAAGTTTGGTTGCCCTCAAGTGCTGGACTAGCCTGGGCTGGACATCCTAAATGGCTTGTGGATGGTCAACAACTGATAATGCTATCTAACAGGAATTCAGCTGCCAGAACTCTTCCACATAGTGTTTTTCTACATACCTTGGGCTCCTCACAGCATGGCCGTTGGCTTCTGAGTGGGCACATTCTAAGAACAAGTGCTCTGAGACAGCAGGAAGTGGAAGCTGCCAGGCCAATATGGGCTATTTACAGAACTTGTGAAATCATCCCTGTGAACTCAATGGGCCAAAGCATTCCCAAGCCTGTTCCAATGGAGGGAAGTAGAGAAATAGACCCATGTCTTCACGGAGCGTGCCAAGGTCCCACTGCAGACCTGGGGCAGCAGGAGACACTGCCATGGTCACCTTCACAAAACACCGTCTGCCGCACCATGGGAAGTGATTTGTGCCCTCTTCCCTCACCGTCTGCCGCACCATGGGAAGTGATTTGTGCCCTCTTCCCTTTCGACCCATCCACCACCTCGGTCATTTTTGTCCCACCCCACAACAGTTCAGCCCTCGTTACAGTGCAGATAGTTCACCGTCAGGGCCACCTTCCAGCTCTCCAATTTCTCCTCATTACCAAAGCCTGTCTAATTTATGGCTTCTCACTACAGGCATTTCCACAAGTGTCATTTTGATGACGTCATTTCCAAGGTAAAAAATCGTCAGCTCTGGTACCTCCACCTTTAGAAAGAGTTATAAACTGCTGGCCAGTGGTCTTGTCTGAATGTTGTTGGGTTTGTACATGCAGGACCCACAGTTTTTAAGTTTTCAATAGTACAAAATCAGGTTTTTACATAAAAAGCCAGGTGAAGGCTCTATTTGAAAAACTGAGTTCTCATACATGGAGGCATTCAATTATCCAGTGAATGTGATCTATTGCTAAACATGCCAAACAAAAGGAAAAAAACCTACCATTGCAGGGCACAATTCTAGTTTCAGAGAGGCAGCAAGAGACTAACCTGTATAATATATAGAATGGTTACGCCGGCTGTCGGATGGCAACAAGCGCTATGAAAGGCTGGAAAAGGGCCGCAGTTATAGATCACATGGTCACGAAAGGCCTCATTGAAATGGTGGCCTTTGGATATGAGAAATGAAACGAGCTGGGTGAGAGAAATGGGGATTTCTAGGATGGTACCATATTGGCTAGCCAGTAGCCATATGCTGCTGTCTAAATTTATATAATTTAAATTAAATAAAGTTTAAAATTTAGTTCTTCGGTCACACTTGCCACATTTCAAGTGCTCAGTAACCACAAGTTTCAAAGGACTGGAAAAAAACAGATCTAGAATATTCCTTTCAGTGCAGCAAGTGCTGTGGCATAGCATTACAGAAGGCTGGTGTTTCAGGAGGAAGAGACAAGAGCAGGGACGCTAGGGTGGGTTTGACTGAGAGTAAATCTCTATTTATAGATCCCTGCCTGATAGCTCGTGTGTGTGTGTGTGTGTGTGTGTGTGTGTGTGTGTGTGTGTGTATGTGTGTGTGTGTGTGTGTATGTGTGTGTTGTGTGCAAATGCGCATGTGTGTAAGTGCACATCCATGTGTGTGTATGCACATGGAGGCCAGAGGACAATCTTGGATGTCAGTCCTCAGGTACCTTCCATCTTAACTTTTTTTTTTTAATATAGTGTTTCTTACTTGACTGGAGCTTGCCCCTTTAGATAAGGCTGGCTGGCCAGCAATCCCCAGGGACCTACCTGTCCACCTCTCCAGCACTGGCATCAAAAGAGGGTGACAATATGCCTATGCCCTGCCTTTTTTTTTTTTTTAAACATAGGTTCTTAGGTTCTAGATTTGGTCCTCCGTTTGTAAGGCAATCACGTTAGCAACCAAGCTGTCTTCTCCCATCTGCTTACTTTCATGCTTAGGAAACACGGCTTTTACTATTTATTATGTTAACCTAAACCAACTTCTCAAAGGTCCTTATTGATGTTGTGCTTTAGATACATGCCATGTTCTATTCTATAGAATCTATGGCATAAAATTCAAACTCCTAGGTCTTTCGTTGAAAATTGTGTGAACTTGGGCTTTTGTGGTGCATGCCTGTGACCCTAGCACTTGGAAGATAGAGAAAGGACAGCCAAGAGTTCAAAGTTATCCACAGCTACATAGGGTGTTCCCGGCCAGTCTGGGATACACGAGACTCTGCCTCAAAAAGAAAAAAAAAAAAAAAAAAAAAACCAACCAACCAACCAAACAAACCAAAAGCCAAAGGAAGGAAAGCTGTACAAACACGTGTGAAGACCAAGAGTGTCAACTAGGAGACAGAACACGGGTTAGTTATCTTTTGTAGCGGAGTGAGTTAATAGATAATTCAAACGTTAATTCTTGGGGGTGACACAGCAGAAGCACCCACAGATCAGAGTGGATGTTAATGAGAAGGGTCCTGGAGGGCTTCGGTGAACCAGGTGCCACCCCCTTCAGCCTGCATATCACAGGGAATCTGAGAACTCAAGGCAATGACTAAGTGACCATCCGAGCTTAGGTGTTGTAACATAAACCAAGAGAGTCTGATGTGGTATAGAGATGTGGACGCTCATTCTTGGATGAATCTGTATCATAGACCTTTGGAAACCATAGCAGACTATAAAGTTCATTACCGAGTCCTTCCCAGTAAACATACATGGGCCAAGGTGACAAAATTTGAGGCCTCTCTCGTAAGTCACCAATGTAAATTCTATTTTTCCTCTACTTCTTCCTTATGCTATTACCCTCCTCTAACAGGACACATTCTCCATGTCCAATAGGCTCTGTGCGACAGTACCTGGGAGTTTTTCTTTAATCACAGTTTCAAATCTCCTTGCTTGAAGGGCGCTCCTTTCCCTTCTGTTCAGCGTCTTCTCCACTCAGCCTCAAGGCACAGTGCAGACTTCCTTCCTGCTTTGGTTTGGGTTGCTCTTCTCGGGAGTTTTCAGAATTCACATTCGCTCAGCAATTAGCAAGAGCATGGGCACTACCTGATTTCCCCCCAGTATTTATCTACACCTGGCTGAGTTTCCCTTTCCTTAAGACAGAGCTCACTGGCCACATGTCCGTGTACACTTTGCCAAGCATCTACTGTGTGAGAGGCACAATAGTAACCCTGACTTCATATCCTTACTTATCATTTTAAATAATTTAAATGGGAACAGCTTTTTCAACTCTTGCCAGTCATAGAAAAAAAGCGGGTCCCAGGGTCCTAATGATGAAGGGTAAAAGACCTTGTTGAAGATCCACTGCCCCTTAGGGCTGAAGACCTTCCTGGAGTGGATTTCCACTCAGTGTTCCACAATTCCTACCTCCTGGAATTGTATAAGCAGTGATTCACACCGCACTAAGCCTTTACAGTTTACCAAGCACATTTATTCATCACACGCAGAGCAGAAGTCTTCCAGGGAGGTCAGGTTCCAACACGTTAACAGAGATTCACCTTCGGGCCACCGGACTTGCACTACTTTGCTATAAACACCATCAAACCCAACAAGTTTTCTCCGCTCACCCTTTCACGAGGAGCCTGCCCACGGGGACCACCGAAGGGGCAATGCTGTCCCAGGAAGCATTTTGCATAGTCTAGTATAAGGAGTCTTCTGTGGGGGTAGGCTGTGCAAAAAGCGCGGGAGGGTGGAGGACCTCTTAGCCTTCTGGGTCTTAGTCCAGGGCAGTCCTGGCTGGGGGCAAAGGGACTTTTCAGTCTCAAGAGGATGGGGGCTGGGAGGAGGCGTCTGGGAATGACGCACCTGTGCAGGCACAGGGCACGGTGCACTCGCTCGGGGGCCTCTTCCGCAGGCGGTGGGAGTGTCCGGGCCGCCCAGAGGTGAGCGGTGGGGCGGGGCGGGGAGCACCTGGGCGGGGCCGGGGCGGTGCGCGGGGCCGAGGCTCCAGGGCCGGGCGCGCGCCAATGGGCAGCGGCTGGCAGCGCGTCCCGCGCCCGAGCCGCAGTCGCGCCCTCTCGCTGCCTGGCGAAGGCGCGGAGGCGAGCGCGGAGGAGAGCAACCGCCGGCGCCGCTGCCGCCGTCAGGGCATCAGGATGGCCGTGGGCTCTATCAAGATGCAGCCACCGTGCGAGAGCCCGGCGCTGGCCTCGGCCGCCCCGGCTGACGGGCCCCTGCGCCGCAGCCCGAGCGCCCGGGAGCCCGAGCGCGAGCCGCCCGCCGCGTCTCTGCGGCCGCGCCTGAGGGACCTGCCTGCGCTGCTGCGGAGCGGGCTCACACTGCGGAGGAAGCGGAGCGCCGCCGGGGCCCGGGTGAGTGGCCCGGGCGCGCACGTGGAGTCCTCGGCCGCCCTGCGGGGCCGCGACGCCACGCTCTGGAAGTTGGGGAGGTGGCGGGACTCCACTGGAGAGGGCCTGGGATAACGAGGTTAGGGGGCGCCCCTCGGGCAACGCCGGCCACACTTCTCCCCAGATGCACCTGACCGAACCCAGGGGCACCCGGGCATCACCGGAAGAAGGGCTGTTTGCTGCCTCTGAGGGGGAAGCTGCAGGTGTCCGGTGACTGAGTCAACCAGCCCCGTCCAACAGCAAGTCTCAGGCCCCCAGCGGGTCCCGTTTGCAGGTGGCCTGCGACGTGCATGCTTGTTTTGGAAGGCTCATAGCAATGTCTGGGTATCGGGACTGCCCTGGTAGCCGCCACTGCTGAGGGGGAGACTTACGAGTTGGAAGAGCTTGGATTAGCTTCTAGCTCCCGAGTTCTGGCGCTGGCAGCACTCCGTACTCTGGGACGCCCCCTGGAGTGGGAGAGTGTAGGACCCTCGGGAATCTCAAATATCGACTTCCTGATGGTGTGTTCAGATATGACTTCCTGGTGAAGGAGCATTCCTTGTATTCTAAATACATCTCACGACCTGAGCAGGCCAGGCTTGTTTTCTCTGTTAAAAGGAGGGCCTGCTTGCCATTTTGGGGATCCGTAAGCCACTCAGGATGCACCAATAGGTCTTCAAGATACCAATAGGCTCTCACAGACTTTCCTACCTCGGTACATTCAGCTCTAAAAAACATTTTTTTTTTGACCATTATGTAGCATTCACTGAGAAGTTGCAACAATGTAGATGTTTTTTACTAGAAGTCTTAGCTATCTGCCTTGAAAGGAGATCGTAGTTGGAGACTCGTGTTCCTGTGACATTGGTTTGTTTTGGAAACTTGAGTGTTGGGGAAAATATTTGTTTTGTTGTGGCTTTCTGTGGATGGGAATGGATGTGAATTGGCACGTCTTCTGCTTCTCCCAGGCTGGGTTTCTCCTTTCCTAGGCATTTTCTTCTTCGGGCCACCTTAAAGGGTTGTTCTTAGGATTCTCTGGTGCAATAAGAAAAATTTTTAAAGTTTCAGAATTGCCCACACAGTGATCTTGATCGTGTGGCCTAAAGAATGCTTGCAAAGAAAGCCAGGAAGTATGGCCTTCGGATATGGTGGGTAAATAAACACAAGCTCCAGAGTTATAGACTTTGCAAGAATCTAGGGAAAGTAGGTCAATGGTGTTCCTGTTATCCTTGACAGATGCTTTTGCATGACACAGAATATGGAAGACAGGAGGGCAGCTGGGCAATCTGTGGCAGGAATTGCCCAAATTTCTGCATAAATCTGTCTACAGTGTTCATCTACACCGACTCCAGTTTCTCCATTCCTGGGATGATGACTCGTGCCTTGTTAAGGTGCAGACTCTGTGCAGGCTGACCCATGTTTTCCAAACTACTCAGCATGTGGGTCCTTTAAATAACGTGAACTTTAATAACTCTTCTTCGACTATAGTACATTGTATTAGTTCTTTGCAAGCTTAAATGAATGTCTCTCTTTAACTGGGAGAGTGACTGTCAAGTGTTTCAGTGTTGGAAACTCGCACTTTCCAACAGTTTTACCGCCTTCTGCTTGGGAGGACACTGTTTCAGTTTGCTTTCTGTTGGTGTGATAAAACACCATCACCAAAAGCAACTCTGGGGAGAAAGGGTTTGTTTCCTCGTATAGCTTACAGCCCATCAACAGGGAGGTCAGGCAGGAACTCGAGGCAGGAGCTGGAGGAGTGCAGCATCCTGGCTTGCACCATGGCTTGCTCAGCCCGCCCAGTGGTGTGAGAGTGGGCAGAGTCCTCCCACACAGATCACTAAATCAAGAAAATGCCCTACAGACTTGCCTTCAGGCCCTCTGATGGAGACATTTTCTCAACTGAAAGTCCTCTTCCCAGATGATGATAGCTTGTGTCAGGTTGGAAAACACTAACTAGGACAACTACTGTTGTGATTTTTGGAACCATCACCAAAGGGCTAGGAAGGAGTTTGAAAGAAGGAAAAACAAAGTGAAATCATATGTTCCAATGTCAGGCAGCTCAAGCCACTGTTACAAAATGCCCCAGACTGGTGACTTCAAGAGATGTTTATTTTCTCACAGTTTTGAATGCTGGCAAATCCAAGCTTAGTGTTCAGGCTGATTTTGTTTCTATATAAGGCTCTGCCTTGCAGGGGGCCATTTTCTTCTATCCATTCCTCTGGCCTTTCTTCAGCAGGGTCAAAGGGAGGACCCTGATACATTATAAGACCCTGATACATTATAAGGCCACTAAAGGGAGGACCCTGATATAAGGCCACTAATCTTATTATGAGGGCCCCACCCTCACAACCAAATATAATCTAAATACTCCATCACATTCCCCCCCCCCCCCAAATTTCCATTACAGTAAGGGTTTGGACTTCAACATAAGAATTGTATGGAAGACATAAACGGTCCATAAGAAGAAGAGGTTTGAGAGGAAGAGACAAATAGAAAATACATCCAGGCTGGTTGGTGGGTGATGGACATCTGAGGTTAACTGGGTAGCCCCCTTGGTTAGGACATTGATGTTAATGTAAAGGCATCATGGCTCACAATCTCCTGAGAACTGTGAGGCCATACCTCCAGATTGGAGCTGAGTGACTCAGTTAATGGAAGTTCACTGGGAACAAAGCAGCTCCGAGCATTGGCAGTCGTTGGTGAAGAGTTCAAATCATGCTAAGATCTGAGTTAGGAGTCTGTGCTGTCCGTGCTGTCCTCGACCCCCACAAATCTGGACCATCAAACACTATCTCAGCTTTCTGTGGACTGTGTTGCTCAACCCAGGTACACTGCAGGCTATCTCTTTCTGGGACAAATTAACCCGTCATTTGGTTAACACAACACAGTTCCTTGGTTCCTCCGTTCAGTCATTTCTAACAGTATTGAATTCACTATGCATTGACTTGGAAGATTCTGCACGTCTTTCGGACAGGTAGAGCGAGAGCCAAGCTTCGCTTTTTGGGAAGATTATGGTCACCTTTCAAACATCAGTGGCAACACAGGTGCTCTGGAGTCCCACATATTTAATCAAGTATTTAAATAGAGTTGTATAATAAACCCCCAAATACCAGCAGTTAGTAACAGTATTACCAATCTTGTTCCATTTTTTTGTTCCTTCCTTTTGTGAGTGGTGGGGGAGGGTTATAATTTAAAGCAAACCTCTAAGTTATCTTACAGAAGTTGCAGCTTCCATCTCTGATGAGGACATTACAGCCACCACCACCCTCCTCTGAGCCGGCATGGTGGCCTGTGCTTGCTTGTAGCCAAAATGCTCATCTGTCAGGACAATTGCAAGCTTTGGCTACAGTGACCCGAGCTCGTATGTAAAACAAAATAAGTCAAACAAAACCTTGTGACTTTTTTTCCTTCCTAAGAATGCTGACATTTCTTAGTATAATTCCTATATTCAAATTCTCCCAAGATGCCTTTCAGGAGCTAAATGGTGCCACATGTTGATTTTTGTTCTTCGGCTTTTAGGTCTATTTTATTTTATAAAAGACCCCCCCCCCCCGCGCCCCTTTCTTCTTTTTTTGTAATGGTATTGATTTGCAAGACAAGTTAGATCATTAGTTCAGGACTCTGTCCCACTTTCTGGGCTGATTCTCTGGGTAACCGTTAACTTATTCTTCTGTCCCTATAACAAGGAAATTCTGTATGGAGGTTTGATTAAATTCAAAAGGAAGTACCCTTTTGGGGTAGTCTGTCATGCCAAGTCAAGTCTGTCATGCCATTTCATGACGTCGTAGTGTCTGGATGTCTCTTTGAGGAATGAGGATTGACTAGTGGGGTCAGATGGTATCAGCTTACCTTCTTTCTACCATTCACCTAATGACTTTAGCCTCATCAATGGATGAGCCATCTTCCTTAGGAAATGCAAACATATAGACAGTCTAACTCCACCATTCCTCTTGCATTTATTAATTGGAACACTGTCCATAAAGATCTTTCTATCATGAATTATTTGGGTTTTCTGACATTCAGGCTACACAGGAAAAAAGAGGACATCCCATTTCCCCCCATTTATCATTTTTCGAAGTAATACTTTAATGTCCTAACAACCCTCACCAGTAACCAGAGTTGTTCTTTTCTTAAGTATCATTAAGAATTGACACATCTATTTTAGTCTGCTGTGGCTAGTTCTCTTTTTGACTGTGCCCTTGTCTTCTACATGCCTTGCACGTGGTCTCAGCACTCAGAAAACTTTATTTTCAGGGGTATCATGTCCATTTTCTCCTTCACATGTGAAGCTAACCATCTGTTCAAGGAGCACTGATCTTTTTAAAAAATATTATTAAGAATGGTTCATTTCTCATATATTTTGCTTCTTTTAGTGTCTGGTCTTAGCCTTCCACCTTAATTTTTTAAATTCTTTAAAAATATTTCTAATGAGGCGATTTCCAAGACTAATGTAGGACAGGTGCTGATTGTTACTCCATCTTTATACACTGTCAGATGCTGGAAGTGGCTTATTTTGGTCTTTACTATTGGGGTATTTCCTACAAGACTCTGAGATGGTCTTCATTGTCTTAAAGTGTTTTATTTACAGTAGGCAGGTGATTGAGTTGTTCACAGTGTACAGCAATTCCTCTAGTGATGCTCAGCTTTTGGCTTTCACAATGGACTCTTCACCATGGTCCTCTAGTGATGCCCAGCCTTTGGCTTTCACAATGGACTCTTCACCACAGTCCTCTAGTGATGCTCAGCTTTTGACTTCCACAATGGACACTTCACCACAGTCCTCTAGTAATGCCCAGCCTTTGGCTTTCACAGTGGATTCTTCCCACAGTCCTCTAGTGATGCTTAGCTTTTGACTTTGACAATGGACTCTTCCCACAGTCCTCTAGTGATGCCCAGCCTTTGGCTTTCACAATGGACGCTACCCATAGTCCTCTAGTGATGCTCAGCCTTTGGCTTTCACAATGGACTCTTCACCATGGTCCTCTAGT